CGCCCCCGCAGCCCACGGGGCCCTTCTCCCAGCAGGCCGCGCGGCGTCGCGTCACTTCCCGGGAAGCCCCCGGGGGAGCGCGGAGTGCCCACCATCTTGGAGGCGGGCAAGCTGGCCTCTACCTCAGGAAGGAGGCAGGGGCCATCTTGAGTTGGGGCAGAAGGGCTCGTTTGGCCGGTGGGACTCGGCGGAGTGAAGCCACAGCGATGCCTGAGCGGCCATGTTGGCATAGGGCATTCAGCCTTCCCTCCCCCGCTTTCCTTGGGGGCGGAGAAAGCAGAGTGTGGGGCCTGGGTGGGCAGAGGCGTCCCCTCCCCCACCTCCACCAGGGGAGAGGGTGGGAGCCCCTTAGGGGGGGCACCACTGCACCCCACTCCATAAAAGGGAAAACTTCTTTATACTCCGAGCCCCCAAGGCCTGGAACAGACTCCTCCCAGAGGTGGTGCAAGCGCCTATTCTGAACACTTTTAAGAAACATTTGGATACTTAACTTGCTGGAATCATTTGACCCTCCCTGACTTCTTGCCCCATGGGTAGTGGGCTGGACCTGATGATCTTAGGAGGTCCCATCGAGCCCTAATGTCTATGAATCTGGAAATGTGCCCTGCTGCAGCCACCCCAGCCCCATTAGTCCTGTTCCAGCTAGACTCAAGCATTCAAGCTCCAGAGGGCCCAAAATCAGGGGATCTGTGTGTTTGGCAGGGGTGGGCGGGCATTGTTTCTGTTTGCTGTGTCTCAGTGTTGGAGCCCCTTAGGGTCATATTTCTGAGCTTTTCTCTGGAAACTGCCAGGCTAGAAAGGTCATTACTTTTAATTGGCAATCACGGGACTCTGGGAGCTGGCTCTTCATGAAATACACGCCACGTACCCAGAGACTGAGGCATGGGGAGCAAGCAACTTGCCCAAGCTTGTAAAGAAAGGGAGCTAAGGCCCAGCCACTTGTTCATAGGTTCATAGTCTGTTCGGGGCTAGAAGGGACCTCGGAAGATCACTGGGTCCAGCCCCCTGCAGCTGGGGTCAGGTGACCCCAGCAAGGTGCTCTCCAGTCTCCTCTTGAAAATGGCCTGGGCAGGTGATTGCACCACCTCTGGAGGGAGCTTATTTCACAGTCTGGACACCCTAGTAGTGAAGTAGTTTTTCCTAGTGTTAAGCCTGAAACAGTCTTCTAGGGTTTGGTGACCATTATTCCTACTTTTCCCCAAGGGTTGTTCACAGTTGTTCACCAAGCCCTTGATGTATGCTTCTGATGTAGCAGTAAGCTGCTACCAAGTCCCCTCTCAGCCTTTTCTTTTTCAGGCTGAAGATTCCCAGATCCCTCAGTCTTTTCTCGTATGGCTTGCTGTGCAGAAAGGCTCGCTTTCCCTTTCTGTATGCTTACCAGCCTCAGTCACTCCAACCAGACAGAGTGTGGTGTCTATTGCAACCAGGCCACTACAACCATTAGTGCTGACTGCAAGTTTAAAGCCAAATGTGTTGCGAGGCTGAACCTAGGGCAGGTGTTGGGGGAGAAGGATTGTACTGTGTGCCTTCTCCCAGTCTCACGCTGCATTTTTCCTGCAGAAAAAGTTACGGGGTTATAATAAAGGGTGGGGGGAGTGGGGCCACAAGAATTAGAAGGGATGGGGAAAGACTTCCACACAAAGAGTTTGAAAAGAGTGAGAACATAAGGTATAATGGATGCGAATAGGAGGAGACACGGTAAAAATACACAACAACATGAAGAGCAGAGAGAAAGTAAATTGGGAGCTTCTTGTTACTTGTCTCATAACACAATAACAAAGGGGAAAATTCAAAACTGATCAAAGGAAATGCTTTCTTGCACTATTCATGGTTATCTTGTGGAATTCATTGCCCTTAGATATCACAAGAGATCAGGAGGTTATCAGGGTTCAGAAAGGACTGGAGATGTATATAGATAACAAAACCATGCAGTTATAAGCCCTTGAGCATCAAAGCATGACATTAGCCCCTGGCACTTTGGGGAAGGTTGAAAATTCATTGGAGTAAGTTACTTTGCAACTCTTTTCTGAAGTTCTCTTACCCCTCTCTCTGAAAAATCTGGTGGTGGCAGCTGTTGGACATGTGCCAGGGATTAGATAGGCCACTGGGCTGATCTAGCAATTCCGTTCCTGTAATCCTCTCTTTATTTGGGGAAGGGATCCCAAAGTCAGTGTTTCACTGTCTGGCTTGCCACTTTGTCACCTCAGGGCAAAATGCTTAGGCCCCAGTCCTGCAAAGCACGTAGTCCTGTTTGACTGACTGTCCTAACCAGGCAGAAGGCCGGGTAGAGATACACTTTATAGACAAACTAAAGAAGATACATAGAAAGCCCAAGCTTTCATGAACTCGAGTTCACTTAATCAGATGCACAACTTGTGACAACCCCCTTGGAGCTCAAGTCCAGTTTGGGACCTTTTTAACCAGCTGCATTTTCTGGAGCTATCAGCCCCAGTGAGTAAATGGGCTATTAGAAATGGAGGAGGAGAGAAGATTCAGGTATCAAATTCTGAATGTAAAATGTGACACAGGATCTGATCCATAGTTCTGGAAGAGAGGGAGGAGAACTGTACAAAGACTGGGTTTGGGAGTACGGCTATGATTACACTAAGGTTCTGCTCCAGTTGAATAATCTTTGTTTCTCCCAGTTTGTGCTTTTATCATTTTATTTGTTTGTTACTCAAAGGGGAATTTCCTGAAGAAGTGTATTGTAAGGAAGAATTTAAAGACGAAAGAACAAAGGGTTGGGTCCAGGAGAGTATTCAAGGCATGCTTAATTTTTAAAACTTTTAATCACTCTGTTGCACAGAGCAAGACAGACGGAGAGAAAGCGAGTGAGAAATCAACCCTTCAAAATTAGTCAAAACAGTAATATATGAAAGAACACTGAGAACAAAACAGTAATAACCACAGCAGAAAACAGCAGTAAAAAATATAATATATTTGGATATTCTATATTGCAAATCCATATGCAGTATTAGTAAATAGTCCCTTAGCTTAAAGTAGTTGAAGTTATTTACAGAAGCATATCGGGAATCCAAGCCAAATCCTCTGTGGTCTAACTTTTTTGGCTTCACGAAATTAACTCTCTATAACATAATACAGTACAAAACAAATGATAAGACCAAGAGAGAGATTAGGGCCTGGTTTCTGCAAATACTTAAGCATGCGCTTAACTGTAGGATCTTAAATGGATAATATTAAAATGTGTATAGGACTTGGATCCTGTATACATATAAAAGTGTTAAAAACAATTCACAAATAATGTTTATTAAGCATGAACTATGCTAAATCATTGTAAAGCTTTGGGAAAATATATTCCAAATTTCAATTAGTTTAGGAATGTTAACTACAGCTGAGGCTATAACACGAGTAAGTAGTTATTATATTGCTTTATTGCTATTATATTTTGCCCCCTGGTGGCTATTCCACTTTCTTCAAATAGATGTCTCATACTGTAAGAAGTCCCTGTTGACCTGAAAGGAAGTAAAAGGAAGTTGGGGGGGGAGGTAAGGGTGGAGAACAGGAAACAGGATAATTTAACACTTAAAGATGTACTATCTTGACCATTGTAGACTGTTCTGTTTGGATATGAAGGGGAGGTTTGTGGGGGGTGAGCAAATCTCTGAAAACAGGAAAATACAAATCATTGTAAAAAAGAAATAAGCAGTCCATCTCTTCCATAGCTGCCAATATCCACTGAAGACTTAAAGACCACATATACTGGTTTTCATAATGCAATACTGTACTATGCAGTAATATCTTATCATTTCTGACTCCAGCTATGATCAGTTTTTGTCTCTTATAATATCATCCTACCCAGCTACACCTGGCTGCCTCTGGAAAGTCCTCGCTGGTAAATCAGGTGTCTGAGAAGATATGTTCATCTCCCTGGCTGTGAAGGCTCTGTGGACAGTGCAGGTAATCAGTTTTTGTGCTGTAGGACCTGATGACCATCTACCTCATCCAGACTTGTCTCCAGACATCTTGACATTGTCATGCCAATAGATTCAGACAGACCTGGATGAGAGAGCGAGGGTGACTGTGCAACTTTCCGTCACTGAAATCCGACTCATGCGCAAGCCATGACATCATCTATATCCCCCCATAGACACACTCAGCAGGTGTGAATACACTGGGAGCTGTAAATGCAAACCTGCACACAGGCAGCTCCCAGTGTATTCACACCTAGGGTCACTTTTCGCTGGACCAAAGCAGCACTGAAATTTGGCAACCCCCTGGGTGACTGAGCAGCCCCATTTAGGATCACATTGCTCACCTCCGTAGCATGAGAAAGAGGCTAGAAAAGGTGCCCTAAACATTGTCAGCTTCACCTTAACCCTGGTCAGCATACCACAGCTGGTGGGGATCTCACTATAGTGGTCAAAAATCACACACAAAGACAAAAAAGACAAAGGTGACACCACAGGCCACTGGTGCTTGGAATGTGCACATACTAATGGACTGTACAAACAGCAGATAGACCAGAGAGAAGAAGATGGACATTTTGTATAAAAACCTTTTTACTGTTTTGTATGTAGAGCTGCAATATTGTAGCTAGTGTGAAAGTAGTGCTCATAAAAGATTCTGGATTCACAACCCTGGATAATGCAGTCTTCTCCTAAGTTATGTAGGATAGATATGGTGCATCAGAGCCACTGGTGCTTCATGTTTCCTCTTGCTTCCCTTGCAGAGTGCATGTAAAAGGCCACCCCAAGACAAATGTAGCTCAGGTCTTTATACCCATTCATTGTCCTCAATGCTAAGGGTGTTACCACAGCCTGTTATCAAATCCTTTGGCTGATTGGATACTTG